TGAATGTTTAAACAAAATACAGATTCTTTAGTACTTTAATAGAACCCTAAAGTTAGAACACTTTAGAAAATGCTTAATTCTAATAAATACTTCCACTTAAGGCAGAAACCTGTATGTTTATGTTTATATTACATTATATATTTATATTGTATAATGTATATATTATGTTTATATTAAGCGTATCTGCCCACGTACTTAAAGTGAGAGAGGTCACAAATAATATTTACTACAAAAACAACCAAAAATAACAACTACTGAGTAATTTTTATTGAAAAGCATTGTGGTAAATACTTCTACACGTATATACATATATATATTAATCCTCACCTGAGGATATATTTGTATTGATTTTAGAGAGACAAGAAGTGGGGGAGAGAGAAAGAGAGAAACAGAAATCTGTTGCCTATCCTTGACCAGGGATTGAACCCAAAACCTAGGTATGTGCCCTGACTGGGAATCAAACCCACAGTCTTTTGGTGTATGGGACAATGCTCTAACCAACTGAGCCACCTGGCCAGGGCATGAGTACTTTTATATACATTATTTTATTTCTGAACAATTCCAACTATTAAGCGTTCTTATGCAAATTTGCCAACCTATAACTTATTAAATTACTGGCCCTCATCATCCTCCCTTGGGAAAAAAACTGTACTTACTATTTGTATCACTTAACAAAAGTAATTTTGTTTCTTAATGTTTCATCTCAATCATCACAACGATCCTATGAAGTAGGTGCTGTTATTATTTTTCACTTTCTTTCTGGAGAGGTAAGCAGCTTTTCCAAGGTTGCAAATGTAGTAGTTGATGGAGCCAAAGGTTGACTTCACAGCCCAGGTTTTTCTTATCACATGTCCCTGAGACGGGGGCCTTGTACACTGACAATATCATGGTTCTGAACTTCCCAAACTGAGGGTCAGGTCCCAAACCATGGTGCAGTCCATGAAGTAAGAAACGTCATTCCATAAGGCCTCGGTAGAAATGGACTACAAACCTATCCAGGCAACACCACTCCAATATGTGCTCAGTAAGGCTGAGCCTTTTCTCCATTATAATGTTTACATATCCAAATCTAACCATATTGGTTAAGAATAATAACAATTGCTTATTTTGTTTCTATTCATATACGTGGCAGTCTTTGCCACCTATACTGTAGAATGTGGTTTTATTTTGACTGAAGATGTAAAAAAAAAAATTGGGTCACCATCTGTGGAGGCCACAACAAAGTCTTAAGAATTAATCACTACATGATGGTTAAATCAAAAGCATTACATGCTGTGTCAGCTTTGGCTTGTTTTATAATTTGTGAAATAAAAATAACAGTCCAATGATGGAAAACTAAGCTAGCCAGAATGTGATCATCTTGGCAATATGAATGATTATTTTGTTCTTATGTCTTGATTGTGGCAAATTTTATATAAATTTTGTTATAGTTTTAAATAATGGGACTTTGAAATCTATCAGCTCAGAAAATATTTACTGCCAACCTGCATTAAATGTAGTTAGATTACTTTATGTAACACACTGACTTCAGAACCTCTTAGCCCTCAAGGGATAATCTATTTGTTGTTAGACTTGGGGAAATCAGGTATTCACCCTCACCACATCCCTATTTTCCTACTTTCTACATGAAAAAGATGGTAGTAACTCAGCAGATGTAGGACATATTTAAACTTTAATTTTCTAGTATGGTGAAAGATTGTTGCCAATCCACTCACATTCTCTTGTGTGGCCTCCATTAGAGTAGCTCAATCCAGTTTAACAAATATATATTGCATATCTAAGTATTTTGTGCCAGGAATTGACATAGAAACTTGTTTATAAAATGAACAAGGTAGATTCCTGTCCTTGAGGAAATACATATTCTATTATTAGAGACACACAGTAAGCAAAACATGTAATAAATGAATAAATTATATAAAATTATAAAATAAGAAAAGTACAGCAAAGCAAGAGTATCAGGAGAGCCTGGCATGGGGAGAAGAAGGGGCAGATTTCAGTATTATATGGAGCATCTGGATCATAGTAAGCCTCAGAAGAAGGTGAGATTTCAGCAAGTACTGACAACAATTAGGTCATTTACCAAGTAGATTTCTTGGGGTAGAATATGTCAGACAGGGGAGAGCGAGGGCAAATACTCTGAGATGGAAACATGCGTTAAGAGTTCATTGACAGCAAAGTGCGGAGAGTGTGGCTGCAGCGAGTGCATCAGAGGTCATAAGGGGCCACTATAAGGACTCCCACCATTACTATCTGAAAGGTAGTGATCATCAACAATAAGGACAGGTCAAGATATCATATTAATTGCAAATTAGATCTCACATTTCCTAGAGAATGCCTTTATACGGGATTGCTGAATTGAAAAAAGTCCCCTTAAATTTCTGAACTTACCCTCAACCAACTTTCTAATATCCTTTCCTTAATTATCCTTTTACTTTCATCTTTAATCTCCAATGATAAAATAATATCTCTCTCATTCAAATATTGTTATACTATTTCCCCATCAAATCAGCCACACTGAGAGTCTTTATTTTTTCCTTTTTTTAAAAATTTATTTATTTATCTTTTGTTGAGACTATTACAGATGTCCTCCCCCTTTTATTTTATTTTATTTTTATCAATCTTTAATTTCTTTATTGATTAAGGTATTACATATGTGACCTCATCCCCCCATAAACTCCTCCCACTCATGCCCTCGATAGTCTTTAAAAATAAGAATTAAACTACTTTCATATGTGTATACCTTTTTCATCTTTGTTTATAAATGCACATAAATTAAGGAGGGCAAGACAAATAATTTGAACAAAGGACCTTATTTTGACCCACAAGACATTGCTACTGGTGTTTTTTGCTTTTGTTTTTAGATTAATTTCCAGATATAATGAAATAAATTTATATTGAGTTTCCTTTTTTAATATTACTAATGAGTAGATATATTCATTCTTATTTTCTAAATTATTATATATGGTACAGATAGATGGAAAACAATAAGAAACAAGTTTTTAAGGAAAAAAATAAAAATAAATAAATAAAACCATACTCTTAATTCTCAAAAAAAAAAAAAAAGAAAGTCAAGAGAAAAGGCAAAGAACACACACATACAAGAAGCATAGAATATAGGTCACTGTCAAAGGTAACTATGATCTTTAATAAATATAATTTAGCTTTAAAACTCATAAAATGTTAAGGAATTCCTCTTATCTCATTGTTTGCTGATTCAAAAAGAAAATGATAGGTAATAATGGTTGCAATAGTAATTTTTTTTAAGAAGGAATTCTTTTTTTTTTTAATGTATTTCTTTTCTTTTTTTTTTTACATGTTTTATTGATTTTTTTACAGAGAGGAAGGGAGAGAGATAGAGAGTTAGAAACATTGATGAGAGAGAAACATTGATCAGCTGCCTCCTGCACACTCCCTACTGGGGATGTGCCCACAACCAAGGTACATACCCTTGACTGGAATCGAACCTGGGACCCTTGATTCCACAGACCGACGCTCTATCCACTGAGCCAAACCGATTAGGGCGCAATAGTAATTTACTAAAATACTTTTCTTCTTTAGAGAAAAGATCAATTCTAACACATCAATGTATATATTTAAAACTCAAATATTTAGTTGACTACAAGCAGGGCCACTTTATTTGGAAACTTGTGTGCTTCTCTAGTTTTCATTAGAGAACCACCTTTGCTTCAGGTGTATCGCACTGTGGTTTCATTAAGGCTGCATTCAATGTTTAAGTAATGCTTTCAATGTAGTTTCTTTATACCCACTACGTGCTACAGTATAATGTATGATAGATAAAAAGTAATCTCTTGTAATAAAGTTATTTTGATGAAACAATTTACATTCTAGTAAGAAAAATAGGGCACACGGAATAATATATTTCAATAAGACTCATACAAAAAAGAATAAAATCAGTGTAAAAAATTTACAAGCACATTAAAGGAATTTTGAATTAATGCAATCAGAATTAATGAATATAATAAGATTAGGAAAGAAAAGCAACTAAAAGAAAAGAATTGTAAACCATGTTCGCTTATACCAGGGTTGGGGAACCTTCCTTCTGCCAAGGGCCATTTGGATATTTGTAACATCATTCACAGGCCATATAAAATATAACAATAAATCAGGCATGGGTTTTTAAAAAGTAGTCTATACTAGTTGCCAACTATACTCTGCATTAAAACCTTGGGTAATGAAAGATTCCATTTATTCTAAATTATTGTGCAAGCTGGTGGAAGTACTTTTTGCTATTGGATTTCAACTTTTTAAAATCAAACCTTATAATAAAAAGAAACCAGAAGGATGTCTCCATTTAGAGTTGATTCTAGTGATGAGTTTATTTCTATGAGAAACCAAGGCAACACACGTGTGTTTACATAGTACATGGTTTCTGTGGCTATACCGTAACAAATGGGATGACTGTTAGTGAGACAAAATTCTCCTAGAATATATTACTAACTTATGGCAGAAGTTTCTTCTTTGAAAGAAAAAATCTGGAAAATTTTACAGTAGCACTAGGCCCACAGGTAAATACTACCTAGACTAGGTAAAATATAGCACTGCACTTTAATTGAATACCTTATTTTTAATCAGAGATTCACAGATTGTGGTTAGATGTCCTGGTCCTTGCTCCATTCTGGACCTTGTGCATTGCACTAACTCATGCTCACTTCTTCCTCTGCTTTTCCTACCACAAATGGGTCAGATTCATCCAAAAAGATAATCAAAGATCAGATTTATTAACCAGACTGCCAATAATCATAAGAGAAAAGTTTCTTTAGGAATAGCAACAAAGACAACCTTTTAGGGGATAAACACATGAAGATATCACTTGGCCACTAACTGCTATGAGTATATATGCACATGTATTTTATTCAAATTGCTTCCAATTATTGGACATATAGCACAAAACTTGGATATTTTTATACTTCATTATGTTAGGTTACCTTTAAATTTTTCAAATTCAACTCAAATATAGGTAAAATAAATACTATACATACTTGGAAGAAACTGCCACCATGAATTCATCCAAAAAAGCATCATATTCAGGACCTCTCACTCTTCTCTGCCGGAGTCCAATGTACAGTGGATCTTTAAGTAACTCCTATTGTAAAAAAGTTACCAGAGATATAAAAATAACTAAAGGCAAGTCATATACTTGTTCTAAGCCTCAGTTTCCTTACTTATATAATAAGAATAGAACTGGAAATAAAATATTGTAAAACTGATTAAGAAGCAACCTAGAGAATCAATATTTAGTGTTAAATAGACTATATCTATAGTATTTATATGCCAAATAAGAAAAATAATTGCTAAACATTAAAAAACATTGTGCCTTATTCTGGGGGGAATAAAAGGAATGAAAATTTCTCAGTGGTGCTAACTAGAAAAGCTTAGTTCAGATTTTACAGGCAGAGTTTTATCACATAGAAAAATATGAGTTCTGAGTATTAAATGAGCTTAGAAAAAGGGAAGTTAACAATTCCTTTCCTTTTTCTTTGTTTCTGAAAGCAAAATATTTAACAAACATTTTGATTATACCTTTAATATTATAGTTGACTAATATTAAAAATAATCTTTTAGCCGTGACTAAAGTTTTTCTTAAACTTTACACAGTTTTTTTAAAAAAATATTTTTATTGATATTAGAGAGGAAGGGAGAAGGATAGAGAGATAGAAACATCAATGATGAGAGAGAATTGTTAATCGTCTGCCTCCTGCACACTCCCTACTGGGCATCGAGCCACAACCCAGGCATGTGCCCTTGGCCTGAATCGAACCTGTGACCCTTCAGTCCACAGGCCAATGCTCTATCCACTGAGCCAAACCTCTCTATCCACTGAGCCAAACCAGCTAGGGCTACACAGTGTTGTTATTGTTTTTTTAAAAAAATACTGATGTGAGCCAATGTTACTCTGTTCACATTTTAGTGTATGTAATATTTTTGTTTTTATTAAATCAGTTTTTAATTGAGGTATAATTTACATATGGTAATATCCATTCACAACAAGTTCCCAATAAACTAGGAACAGTAAGAAACTTCCTAAACCTAATAAAAGTCATCTATAAAAAAACCCAGGTTAACAACATATTTAACAGAAAAAGATTTAGTGCTATTTCCCTAAAATTGGAAACTAGCCCTAGCTGGTTTGGTTCAGTGGACAGAGCATTGGCCTGTGGACTGAAAGGTTCCTTCTGGTCAAGGGCACATGCTTGCGTTGAAGGCTCAATCCCCAGTAGGGGGCATGCAGGAGACAGCTGATCAATGATTCTCATCATTGATGTTTCTATCTCTCTCTCCCTCTCCCTTCCCCTCTGAAATAAAAAAAAATATATTTAAAAATAAATAAATAAAATTGGAAACTAGACAACGATATTTACTCTCACCACTTCTATTCAACACTATACTATACTGAAGATCCTAGCCATTACAATAAGGTAAGCAAAAGAAAAAAAACAACAGGAATATAGATTGCAAAGGAAGAAGTAAATTGTTTTTATTTGTATACACATGATCATGTACATGGAAAATACTAAGGAATCTACAAAAAAAATCCACTAGAAAAACTATGTGAATTTAACATGATCACAGAATATAACATTAATATACACAAATCAAATGTGTCTCTATACACTACCAATGAACAACTGAAAATGAAATAAAATACACAACTCATTTATAATAGAATTCCAAAGCATGAAATCCAAAGGGACATATTTAACAAAACATTTGTAAGCCCTGTAAACTGGCTTCATAGATGTAAGATAAAGTTAATACAGGATGAGCTAAAGAAGAAAATGTTCAGTATGTGAGCAAAATTAAAAAAAACACAGAGGATACAAGACTAAGACTTGCTTGTAAAAGATTTCAAAAGTGAAATAAGGCCGGTAGTCAAAGATCAACTGAAATGTGTGGTTGTTAACAACTTTTAAAAATATATCTAAATGAGTTAAACTGGAGTCCAATAGACCATCTTGTCTTGATAAAAGGAACTAGTCCCAGAGCTCTCTGATACGCTACCACTGAAGGGGGAAGGTCTGTTTTGAAAAGACTTGTGAGTGGGGCCTTTATGTAATAGAGACGACTATAATCTGATACATAGAAAAATTTTAAAAAATTCTAAGGGTGCTGGATTAATTGGAACACTTCCAAATGAAACTTCGCTTGGTCCCCAACTTTCCACAAGAAGAAACCAGGCTGAGAAAGCTATTTAACTGTGATACTGTGGACAGAGCAAGAGTCCTGAGAGCAGAGCCAGAAGCATAAGAGAACTAGGCCCTTTTCAAAAACATTCCCCCCCCTCGACCCCTGCCCCCCATAGGTGGCCTGACAACATATGTCCAATGGGAATTCAAAATTTCTATGAACCATTTAGAGCCATATAATTCCTATTCCTCCCATTTTGAATGGGAATGTTGATGGTGATTATTCTGACCCTGCTCCACCATCCTTAGTTTAATATGTGGGAACAGATAAGAGGACCCACAAAAAGGACCCAAACACAAGAAGCTTCATTTGTACCTAGACCTGATTTAGATCAGAGGACAGGATCCTGAAGTCTGGGACTACTGCTGTTATTGGGATGAAACTGTTGGAAACCTAAGATGAAGATGAGCATATTTTTACATGTGGAATATGAACAATTTGTGGAGGAGAATCTACATGGAGAAGGGCAAGCTGTCCCATGCCTCTTAGCCTTCCTGCCCATCCCAGCAAATCATAAACATTAATAAAATTGTAATTGTTTTGTCACTAAGTTTAGAGGTGGTCTGTTATAGATAAATGATATGTTTTAGTAGGTGTGGTGATGTTGTTCTGTAGGTTGAGCCATTTAAATAATCTGAGTAGCGATTTGCTTCAAGCCAACAGAAACGACAGTCTGGTTGACACCTGCCGTCCTAGTGAAATTATTAATAGCGTCCTCTTTCATTGTGAAAGTGTCTTGGTTTGGCTAATACAGATGTGGTCATCCTACATATAACGTACTGCACAACAACGAGTTAAGGCTTTCTGCTAGCTGGAAGTTAACATACTTAATCATATAAATGTATTTCAGATGAAATGTAAAATCTGAAATTGAGTGCTGCTATAAAGCCCAGCTGCTCCTGGAGGCCTACAAACTTTAAACAATCTACTGGCAGGCTTCTGAACAGGGGGGCTGGCTTGCCAGTGAGCTTCTAATGCCTGCCAGAAGTGAAACCCCTTCTCCATGTCTGGGATGTATTTGGACTTCTAAAATGTGAATTAGAAGAACACAATTAAGAAAAGATGTCACATGTTTCCCTGCTCTCTTTGCTCATTCTTTCCATTGCTAATAATTAAAGTATATATAACTACAATGGAGAGTCAAATTGAAGACTTATGAACAAGAAAAAGCTTTTACATTAAATCAGGAAGTTATAAAATTCTCCCAAATATAATGTTTCTGTCACTATTTACTGTTTTTAATTTTTCATGATAATTAAGGCTTGAATAACCAGTGCACTCTTAGAGATTTGACTGAAAAAAAAAAAACTACAGCAAGCAAAATTACCCAATTTTGATAATGGCTTCATAGACTAAGTTGCCTGGCACAGAAGTGATATTAGCTTATCACATTAACAGCTTCTTGTGGCCACTATTAAACACGCACTAGAACCATTTTTGGAGAATAAATGAAAGACTGGGTATGAAGCAAGCACTTAAAAAGGTTAGCCACTGTTTAGCAAGAGATGTCACATGAAATGCAGGTAATGTCACTAAAAACTTATGAAGACTTATAGTATGAGAGAAGGAAAAAGATTATAAGAAAACAGTAAAAGACAAAGCATATGGAAATCAGGAGGGTATATATTGGTCAAGTTAATTATCTTCCTTGTTAGCACTATCTCAATTATGGAATCTTGAGAAATTTTATTTGAAGCATTCATTTATTTGAAGTTAATAGTAATTATCATCAACTCACACCCTGTTCTTGTCTCTCACATTTATACCTTTCAAATCTGAAGTTTTTGAAAATTAAAAACTACTTTCTTAATATTTTAAGTTTTTTATCATTAGTAAAACAACATTTCCTATCAGAAAATTTGAAAGCACTGAATAAACTCTACCCATTCAGAACTACCCTCTACTATCACCTTGATGAATAGTCTTCTAGGCCATTTTCTTTATATCCGCGCATGTAAAATATTATCTGTTCAAATTTTGGACAATATTATAACCCCTTTTCACATAGGAATATATTGTGAAAATGTTTCATGTCAATAGAGGAGCAGTCTTAAAATTTGTGATCTATATTAGAACTCTGCCCTCAAAGAGGACGAACAAATTAATGGTCCTCCCAATGACATGTAATAACTACACCTATTTTGTTGCAGCCTCAAGTAAAAGTATTATCTTTCCACATATATATATGTGTGTATATGTATATACATATAAAATATATATAATACATATAATGTATAACAAAATAAATATATATAAACACATTATTTATCTGTAATGTTAATAAGCAACATTCATTTGTACTTTTCTAATATTAAACATGTTTTCATAAATTTCTTGAGCATTTTTACTTCTTCATTTGTAAATTGTATGTGTCCATATGTCATTTAGCAATTTGCATATTTCAAATTTGACATTTTCTTATTGACTTTAAAATATTCTCTCTGATACTGAGAACATATAAACTTTTATCTGCCATGTTATAACTATTCCCCACTTTAGCATTTATTTTTAAATTTTATTTATAATATATAGATGATCATTTTTTGGTGCTATGACCTCATTATTTTCAAATGAAAGAACAAGATTCTGTAAAGAAATAATATGTAATTTTCACTTACATCAGTAACATTAAGCAAACTGCCAACATTCTAAAACAATAAAATGTCAGCATGCACATATGCTGGCACAAAAGTTAAAAAGAGGTAAAAATAAAAATGATTAAGTTTGACTGTGATTCATTCAGTAAGTCTGGAGTGGGGGTCAGGGTTGGGCAATCTTAACACATGCCCTTGGTAATTCTGAAGTGGTTGGTCCATAGAACACATATTGAGGACCACTCATTTCAAACTTATTAAGTTAAAAATAAGATTATTATACCTCCCCAAAGGTTCATTTCCA